CTTTCTGTTAATGAGCTATTTTGATAACCTGTAGCTTGATAAAGCAGGACTGCACTGCAGATATCTGCAGCTGCTACAGGCATTTTATTGTATTGCTGTGCGCTGGGACTGCACCCAACGCTGGATGAGGGTTTCACAGTTCAGAGAGGGACAGACACACTCTCCTGCCTCAGGCACTATCCAGCTTTTAACAGAAAGGAGTTAGCACTTCTCTAAACTGCCCACCACATTGTTTTTTCCTGCCGTCTTGCATTGTCAGGATGTTACACCAACTAAATTTGATCCAGCAAAGCTCTTCTGTTGCTGAGGAGGAAGGAAGTGCAGTAGTGAACACCAGATAATTTAAGATATGCAACTGTCTAGGAAATTTTATTGTAAAATCAAAGCCTCTATTCTTTTCATAAAATTAAAAAAAAAGGGGGGGTGGAGGGTGTGGGGGGAAAACTTCCACTCTCAGATTTTAATTTCCAAGTAGGAGGTGATTGCATGCAGGCTACTCAGTAACACCATCATTATACACGTATGGCTGATTCTACCTAACCGTACATGTTTGTCATAGCACAAATCTAAATCAGCCTGAGAAGATGTAATGAATGACATTTGGACGTACAACTTGGTATTCATAGGACCTCACAACACAGTACTTTTGAATGCTTTTCTGAAATAGAAGGATTGGGCAGACTACACTGAAATATTCATGAAGGATAATGAAAAAACAGCCATCAATGACAGTGTTATAGGTTTGTTAATATTGTATGATGAGTGTGTTATAACCATAAATAAACAATAAGTATAAATGATATTGAATATAAATAATCATTAATACAAACAATAAATAATAAAATATGAGCTCAAGAGGGTGATGTGATAGAATCAGGACAGGCATCAACCACTGAGTGTTTTTCCCCTCTTACCCCTTGATCTCTCAAAAAGCTTTCAGAGCCAATATAGCTATTCACTGCTAGCAAAACCAGGACAACGCAGTATGTTGTGCTTCCTTCTCTCACAACACGCACTGATAGCATTTCAACAATATGCTATTGTAATAAAAAATTGCAATCTTGACCTTCTAGACAGTACAAACCTTAAATGGGCCATGAGCACAAAAGGAATGAAACAGAAGAATATGTTACCAATAATGTTATTTTCTTCCCTGGAACTGAAAGGAAGGAACTTGTGTGAGCCATCTGTAATCACAGTCTGCTTAAATGTAACCTTCAGCCTCAGACTTCAATCACTGGGACAAAATCCTAAAAGAGTTTTCCTAGTTGCACATGTAAAACATTCACTGCAGAGATGAGGGTGAGAAATATTCCAGAGAGAAAGCAAACAAAGAAAACAAGAGATAAAAACATTCCTGTGGCTAACAGTCTGAGCTGGATGGGAACATAAAAGGTGCAGTCTCTGTGTTTGGTACAGGTCTCACAGGAGAAGAGGGAGCCAAATCAACCAACTCTCCATTTTTTTTTTCCAACAGTATAGTAGGAACAGAAAATTCTTGATGCCTGCCTGTGTTATATAAGCTCTAATAGGAAACAATTTAGCATCAATGAATACAGCAAAACCTATAGAAATGCTGCACACAGCAGTAGTCGCACAATGCTGGATCACAGCGGCAAAAATCAACTTCACCATTATAACCTGATGGGACTGATCTAACAATCTCCCCCAGAAAATTCTCACCCCTAGCGTGCACAGATACCAGCATCACCCTTGGGAAACTTTCTGGAGGTGCTCTCTCCTCAAACTGGTGCTCAGTATTAACGGAGCACCTTGACATCTTGATGAGCATCCTACAGGACACTGGTGGAAGCTCACAAGAAGTTGGAAAGCTTGAATGATTGCCCTAAGACTGTGAAGGTTCCTGCATGCAGGAAATATTCCCATCAAGGAATTCACATTTGCTCCCTGTTTACATGGTTTCCTAGCCTTCTGGATTTATCTTATCTAAGTAACCAGTTGTGTCACACTCACAGGCCATAAATTAGTTAACTCCAGTTACACCTGGGCCTTTGAACTCATTTGTTATCTTGGTCAATCTTCTGGTCCCCCTACCAACCTGGGTATATCTGTGAACAGTAGATGGTTGTTGAGAGGCTGCAGTGCAGATGGAGACTTTCTCAGGGAGATGCCTTGTCTAAAGTGGCTGCTCAAAGCCTATTAATTAGAGCCATGACTGAATACAGATAAAAACATCACTCTTTAGAAGCAAATTCTGCTACGGCACCCCCATCCCTCCTCACTAGCAGGCTTTCCCATGCCAGGAGCAGGTAAAGCAGCCAGCAGCACATCAGTCACACCTTTTCGTGTAGCACTTACAAGGCACTCTGATGCTGTTTGAAAATAATATTCTCTGCAGAACAGGAATCACAGTCACACCAATTTTAATGAGTTGTATGAGACCTACTCTTCTTTTTTTGGCACTTCCCTTCTTGCATCCCTTTTTTCGTTATGTCAGGTTTAAAGCACTTATTTCTGCTTTCCAATCCCTGTGCATAGCCCTGCCCTATTTTCCCACTAAGTTGCCATCTCAAGACTCCAGTGTGCCTATCCATCTGCTGGCCACATGTGCCTGCTGTCATACCCCTGATTTCTTCCATGGTGATCCTGAGCTGCCTGGAGTTGAATACTTGACTTTTATTATTTGATTTTGGAAGTACTTTTTATTTTACTTGTGTTGTTGAAAGGATTGTCCACACTACCTTGAGACTTTTCCCCCACAAAGAAATCCTTAGTAATTTCTTTATAAACCTGGCTCTGGAATGACATTTATTAGGGACCATTTCTCCTTGATTTGTTTAGCGTTACAACAACTAGATTTTTAAATTACTCCTCCATCAAGCTTTGTTTTTTCAAAGCCAGAAGAGAAGTCATGGCCAAGCTCCTGCTATTGGAGTTAGTGGCCAAGAGTTGTGGAGAAAGCTTCCTGCCTTCCTGTCACTTGAACTTGATCCTGGGGGAATGGTTGCTCGCTGGTGTAAACAGCAACATGGATATGAGCTCATAGCCAGCCCCAAAATCTTTAATAGAGAAATAAGGCTCACTTATTACAGACAGATGTAAGTAGCCAAGTGATGCAGTTATTTATAAACTTTTGTTAAGTCTGTCATTTTTAGCTGTGCTTAAAAGCAACCTTTTAAAATGATGTCTCAGGAACATAGTCAACAGCAAGGCAAACTGGTCTTTGTCTTGATTAGATTTTGCTCCCTTTACCTTGATGAAACGATGCCTTATTAGCATTCCAAAATGAGAGTGTGCTCTAAATGTAAGTGGATTTTAATACAATCTTTTTGAGGAAATGTCAAACTGCATTGGGTACGTGTCCTCCCTGCCCCCCTTCTCTTCCCTGAACAGCAGAGTTCAGCAAGGAACTGTGCCAAAATAATGAGCAAGGGACGGGGGGAATTTCAGAGTCAAGGTAAAAGATGAGAAGTCAATTCTGCCAGAAGTAACATCGCTGTGGTTCTGCCACCACCTGCTTAATTCATTGCCTTGCCTTTGGTTTTGCACTGGTGTCAACTAAGAAGGCTTTTACTCCACTCACTTCTCATGACTACTCAATTAGTACGTAACACCACATACCAAAAGCTGGAGGCTTTTCTGCTGTAAAGTGATACCAACTGGTACAGTTACTTATACTGTCTGGAAAGGCAACCCTAGCGGTTGCCCTCTGTTGTGCATCCTGATTTATTTGCGATTACCGGAGCTGTGTAAGCATGGTCCTTCAGAGGCTAAAGGACCCCTGAGAAATTGTCTCCTAAAGTTACCAAAGCCTGGAGTTAAAAAAAGCCCAAGCTAAACCCAAGCCTTACACAGGCAAAGCATACCTGCTTAAATTAAATTAAATATTAACATCTGCTTTAGACTTGTACTGTGAAAGTAATATGTGCACTGTTAATGAACCGCAATTTATTTACACCTCAAACAAAGAATATCCTCACTGCCCTAAGGTAGTTAAATTGCCCTCTTCCTAGTGAAATTTATTGCCATTTAAACATGCCAAAAGGCCATTTTGCCGGTCATTACAAAAATCTATCATTTCTGCAACTGCTGGTATCCTGTTCTGTGGTCAAATTCAATCTGAGAAGGGTCAACAGAATTTTTCCACCAAATGCTTCCCTCTTGCCTGTCATCAATTTACTTTTGTCAACAAAAAGGGCATTACTACCGAATGAAATAGAAGATCCTCTTAAGACCTCTGGCAAACAGCGAGAGCTTCTCTGACATATCGCATCTTTTCTGCTTGCAGATATGTGTGTGAGTGTGTGTGCTAGTACCGTAACTGTACTGAATGCATGAGCAGTGATTTTGTAGCTTGACAAGCTTCTTTTACTCCAACAAACATTCATGTTTGTAACCACTGTGGAAATTCGCACAGAATTTTCAATTTTTATCCATGAAAATAGTTTAAAGAATATGTTTTCCAATAGGAAATTATGAGAGTATTAGTAACTCAGATTTTTATCATGCAGCTCTTTTGCTTTTCTTCTATGCACGCAGTCAGAGTGCACACAGAGATTTGCTTCACCTCACATTACATCCTTCTGCTAGCCATACAGTTCCAGCTACACACAGAGACAAGGACAATACAGCTGCCACTTAGAAAAGCCATCAAATGACATCCAAAAGCATATTCTGCTACTTCATGCTACTTTTGCTACTCCTCAAGTTGGAGTTCCTGCCTTTTCAGCTGGCGAGGCAAAGTGAGTTACTTGCTGCATGTGGTTGAGGCCATTAAAGTCACACACACACACACAAAGGGTTAGGAACACCAGTTCACAAAGAGATATTTAACTTCCACCTGCCACTGACTTTCAAAATTTAAAATGGCTGATGTCCCTACTGGGACCACCACACTGAAAACTGACTTCATGCTAAGTGCTGGGGAACCCTTGATTCCATTGAAAACACAGCTAGATTTTGGCTAGATGTCTAAAAATGCTAGAGAATTGTCTAGTCTATATAATAAAAATCATATTGCTAATAAAACCACCACACTGCACTTAAACGATTTTTAATGTACCAGTGTCAGAAACATAAACCCAAATTAAGTCAATTAGGTCACTACTATTAATCAGTACCCTCTTCAGAGCACCACTTGTTTTTTTCAGTGACTCAAGGAATTAAATTCACAGGTAGCAGAGAACATGGCTTCTCTTTCTCTCAGAGCAAAAAAATATCCCTGTACTCCATCCTCTGTCTCCCATATCACTTCTGTAGCCAAAAGATTGTGGATTTTACTTGGACAACCTCTAACTGGTACAGCACATAGGCTTTTCCAAAGCCAAGCACTTCCCATGTGGTATCCGCAAATATCATTAGTAGAGCATTCAAATGAAGCATTTAAGCTAACGTCCACAACTAGCACAGAAGGGTGGGTAAAGGGAAGAGGCAGAGAGGACAACAATAAGATGACATTTTTTAGTGAAGAACTGCCTGAGCTTTGTCTAGTTTTCTTCTTCACTGTTTTTCTGCATGTGAATATGCAATGATCAGATGCTCCTCAGGAGGATCAGTTGGATGATGGTGAGGGTACTGCAGATTTGGAAAGCTAGTCTGTCTCATAATTTTGTGTTTGTACAGGAAGCCAGAGGTCTTGACAGGCACATTCAATTAAAAAAACATCCATGCTTGAAGCCAAAAATTCACTCAAACACTCTTGTTTGAGCTCTGAAGCAAAACCCCCTCTCAAAGAGCCTCCAAAATAATTGTGCCGAATTTATACAAATGCTAACAATTTATTCCAAGAAAATGAAATCTGCTGAGGTGAGACAGGGAAGTGTTAATACTTCTTGAACATAAAAATATATAGCCTTGCTTAAACAAAGCTGAATTTTCTTGAGCTGGCTACAGTCCTCAGCATTCCCTCTTCTGATTTTTAATCATTTGGAAACATCTATATTATTTTTCCTGTGCTGGTAAGATGATGAAAGTTGTTCCTCAGTTCAAATACAATATGTAGGTGAGGAGAACAGCCTGTGACAGCTTATAGCAATTAGTTGTCCTGACTTTTAAGGAGAAGAATTGGACAGCAAAGCAACCTGGAAGAGAATAAAGGAACGTGAGGTGCCCCTCTCTTTAAATGACCTACAAATATCCTTTGTCTCTGTGCTCAAGGGAACAGCTTGCATGTGGGCAGAGGACAAGGGGGAATGAGCAGAACTTCATCTCCACTAGCTCCACTGCATCAATCAGGAAATCCATACTATAAAGTGGTAGCAGGAGGAATAAATAAGTCTGTTCTTAGCATAGGCTGAATTTTTATTCTTTTCCACTGTAAGAAAAGAGAGAAACCGGGAAAGGCACTGAGATTCTTTAAGCATCTCTGCATAGGTATTGCCCTTCAAAGCATCAGGCAAAGCAACCATTTGGAACTTCAGAAGCAACTGCTGCAACAAACAGTATTTTACTGAGCAATATGTGGATTCTCCACCTTGGAAGCGGTAATCCTACTTACACATACAAACTGGGGGATGAGAGGCTGGAGAGCAGCCCTGCAGAAGTATGTGGTAAAAAGACTGGTACCATCTGCTTCCATGCAGGGAACGTCCAGCCTTGTTCTGCTCTTTTCTCTTGTTCTGCTTGCTCACAGAGAAAACAGCTCCAGCTTCTGGCTGCCCTTGCAACCATTTGTTGCTACATGTTTTATTTTTGTCAAATAGGAAGACCTCTTCCGTGCTTGTCCTTGCTTCAGACATGAGGCATAAGATGAATTTGGAAAAGTACTTTCATGCCAGGACAAATTCACAGGTAAGAGCACTTCACTTAAGAAGCAATTTGTTTCACCAGTAATTTTTCAGTATTGTTTTTGTCATTGTTGAAGCTGTTTTTGTCTGCATATGAGTGTTGTTTTTGACGCAGGTCATATTCGGTTTCATGGCTTACAACTCAAGTGATACCCTTAACTGTACACACATGGCATAGTACTTAAACTATATGTTGAACAGGAACCTGAGAAGCTGATATTGAAACAGAGACTACCAAGTCAGAGCAGGATGGAAAGACAGACTGCACAGAGGGAAAAACTTACATTAACACAAGTATATATAATAAGTGGCAGCACAGTCAAAATTGTACAGCTCATTATTGCTTTATCCAGAACTCATCGAAATCTGTTGAGAACATCTTCACACATTCAAGGGTTCTGGGTCATGATTTGTGTCAAAGAGTCTTATTTTACAAATTCTGTGGTTAAACAAATCTTGCACTATGTTTTGGGTGGTTTTTGCCTGCAAGGAAGGTGTAGGGCTGAACAGTGTCTGCCGAACAAAGCTCTTCGGCATTGATATTGTGGGACAGTTTCCCAGCTGGAAGAGTGATCCAGCAGTAGTACTGGGATTTCTTACATAGCAAGAGGAACTAAGAGAAGGAAGGGAGACCTTGTCACAGTCACACAGATCATGACAGCCTTTCAGTTTTAATCCACTGAGTATGTTCAGTGTTGCCAGATGGTATAGTCCACTGACAATGGTTATTTTACTCAAGTCTCCTTGTTTCTCATGAAAAGCAAGCGGCCATGGTTTGGCCATAACAGAATTTAAAAAGGCAGTAATTCCAGTTTTATCCAATAGGGAAAATATCACCAATGTCATCAATGGAGCAGGGTTAAATCCATTAAAAATGTCCTGGATCCAAGGGACTGATAAATACCACCAGTCTATAAGAATCCCATGCCTCATGTTTTTTGTCACTGCTGTCTAGGCTGTGACAAACATTGGGCCTCAGGCAAAAAGGCACAAAACATTTCATGTCATCAAAACATGAATCTGAGCTTTGCTTGGCACTTTTCCAGGGAAGGACCAGGGCTGACAGCTTACGGGCCTACAGAATTATTGCTTGCCTAATGTTGAATAACATAAGCACTCACAAATCAAGTCTCAGTTTCCAGGTACCCTAATAATTCACTATGTAGTGACTTTCCTCCAATGACTGTATGCTAAGCCAGAGAAGCCAGCAGCAGTGCTTGGAAGTGCTTGGCATAAAAGCACATCGGATACTGATCATATTAAATGTTTCTTTTTGTTTCTTATGTGGATACCCAGCAATTAAGACCTTGATTCATAGCAGACCTTGCAAGCAGACAAAGAATGGTCCAAAGGAGCACTTGAACACTCAATCTCCAACTAATTTTGCCTGTTATTTTCCTACCACTGAGCCAAGAGCTGAGAACTTCATTATGATGCAGCATGGCATCACAGCTTGTTACCATGCAAAAGACACTAACTTATGCTTAAAAAAGTGCAGGGCTCTGAGGCCTTCTGAAGTTCAAAAAGATGCTCTGGGCACATGCAGTGAGCACAGGATTAGCAATAGGTGCTCTCCAGGCAGCAGATGATTGCTGGGTTCAGTTTTTTGTTGATGCTTCCGGTGGTGCGTTGTGGAAGTGTGCACATATGTAAACCCAGTGGATTACTATCAACTCATCAAAAAAGCCATCCTACTCTTCTGTTTCTTCCTCAGTTGTGAAGCAGGGAAATGTTTGTATTGCTTATGATTCCTCAAGCTCTTCTGTACTCTCTGTAAGTGCCAGTTGGGAACTGCCTCACAACAGCTTCACTTACAGATGGGTCTTCTTCCATCTCCTCACAGGCTGACAGATAGCTTTAATTACAAGCTTCATTGCCACAATGCCAACAAAGAAAGAAATGTTGCCCCATATACATAGGGAGAGGGGAAAATTGTAGGTCTTTCTCTCCCCAGTGGGTGAGTAAATGGAAAGATAGTTCATGGGTCAGACATTGGGACAGGTTATATTTTGTCATATCTATACACTACCTACACAGAAATTACTAAAGACAGACCATTCCAGAAGATGCAAAACTTTGACTGTAGAAGATATCTCCCTCCTCTCCCTCAGACTGACATTTATCTTCTGTTTAGTGTGACTTGGCAAGCTCTTATTGACATTTACTCCTGGATTCCTCTAGAGCAACTATCATCATTTGAAGCTATACTTCTGAACTCAGGTTTTGGGACTGAATTCAAGGACAGATATGAAGAATCCAAGAACAGATAGCTAACAAAGATGGGACAAACTGGTTTTCTGGAGTCACTTCTCTCCCTTTGCTCTGGTTAGAGGCAGGCTGAACAGCAAGGTAAGAGATATAGAGCAGAAAGGATTTTTTTTTTTTCTCTTGCTGCTAAAAAGCAGCAAGAGAAAAAAAATCCTTCCTTTATTTTTCAAGTAAGCTGGTGACAGGGTTGTTGATCAGATGGACTGCCTGCTCTGATCAAGTCTGACAATTTCTACAGTTTTATCTTCTTGCAGAACAGAAACCCAGACTGAACTGAAACTGGCATTCAAGACAGCTCCCTGAAACAGCCGAGGGAAACAACTCTCCAGTTATTGACACACCAATAAATTATTTAAAAAATCCAGACTATATTAATATTTGTCAGGGGATAATTAAGTCAATCATTTCAAATATCCTGTTGTTCACTCTGGCTCACAAGCAGACTGGTGCAACTGCTTTTTGTCTGGCAGCGAGTTGCAACACAAGGAACCCCCTCCTTCTCTTTTGGGAAAACCAGTTTTTTCATGCTTGATGAGGCTGTTCACTGAACTCCTCCTTTCTGTTTCTGCCTGCCACTTTACTTTACTTGATGTTGATGTCTCTGAAAGGTCACTCCTTTTCCTCCTTGGTGGGCATGGGGAAGTTGCAGCTTAGCTGCAGACCTAAACCCAGTTGGTGCAACCAGCTAGATCTGCAAGGAACCCTCCTCTGTTCACACGCCTGGGTATCACCCCCATGTCACTTGAGCATTGAAGCACCAGTATCTTGGCTGACACTCATGTGTACTGGAATGGGGACGTGGCAGCGATAGTCCAAATACCTGTGGACCTACTCATTTAGAGGCAGAAAGGATGTAAACTAAGCAAGGAAACCAGCAAGAGCTTCTGTACCCTGCTCTCACTGCACTGCTGTATGTGCAGAGGTACCTGTCAACAGAAGCAGCAGCTTCCCGTATGGCTAAGCAGTGTCTCTTGCTGCTGTGTTGGACATCAGTGTTGTCTTGTTTCTCCATTACTACTCACTCCTAGGAACCCACTGCTTACTACATATCTTTAGCAATGCTTGACTCCAATATCTATATTTGATTTAGGAAAACAATATTTACTACGAAGCAGACACTTGGTGTTCAAAGATACTTTCTTTGACGACTAGCTTACAACATCATTTTTCAACACAAAACCAAATCCTAGAAAGAATATGTGTAAACATAGTGCAAACTGTGAAAGCTTTCCATAAGGTCTCTCACTAAGACTCACAAACTCTTTTCTTACAAGACCAGATGTCTGACTACATAAGACAACACTTGCCATGAGCAGAGAAATACTTAAAGGACACTCGAGAACTTTAGCCAGGGTTTTCCTGCACACCACACCCAGCCTAGGCAGCTCAGCAAGGCAGAGATCCTTCCCAGACATGCAAATGTAACTGTCTGTACCACATCTACAGAATAGTGTTAGTAACTAATAATTAAATCCTTGTTGTCTAAAACATTTCCACTCCTTGAGTGAGTCAGCCTTTGTGTGGATGTATCTTCAGGCCACATTGTATTGTACTCTTCCTTCAGCAACCATTGGGCAAACATTTCTACACAGACTGACAAGACCACAACAGGGCCCCATAATTAATGGCTTATGCACACATTACAAATTACATATTAAGCCTTAAGTTCTGTAGTTAGTTTCTGCAGCTTATTAGCTATATTTTAGTCAAGTGCAACATATAATGAAAACCACAGTGTGGTTTTGAACTTTTTATCCAGCTGTCACACGGATTTGTTTTTTAAATTGGTTTAGACACATTAATCAACAAAAATAAAAATTGCAAGAGTAGATGAGGTATACAGCTAGTCCACTTTCGAGTTATGATTGCTTCATATACTGTTCTGCATATATATAGGCAAATACTTGCTGTACTATACACTTTAATAAAGGTTATGTATTTTCATTATCTTTCTAATAGTGGTAATTTGGCTTTACAGACAAATCTCTCAACACAGCACCATTGTTTTCCTCAAAATGTTAATTTCCTCTGAGATATATCTTTCTCAGACTCTTGCAGTGGTACTTACTGCAGTCTGTGGAAAACGCAGAAACAGACTGTAACTTGATGACGCTGTGATCAGCAGCCCTGTCCTTACCTGCATCAGGAACCAGTGTTATGGCTTTCAACTCAGAGTTCCTGCATAATTATAAAGTGACTCCTGCCATTTAATACCCTTGCCAATTACCCATGTGGTTGATTCTACCACATCCAGATGCTTTTATAAACCAAAAAGAGAGAATACTTGCCTACATTTAAGATGGAATTTGACTGCATCAAATATGATAGCTCTGTTTTCAGTTGTGTTTGATATGGCTGTTTCCAAGGTCTGAACCCACCTGTCTTGAACACAAACAGCAGTTAGAGCAAGTACATGTGAGATGACAACTCCATTGTATTTTAACAATGCCATCTTCCCTGCAGTGTGCAGTGTTCAGTGTTCAGGGCACTGCCGCGAGCACATGACAGACGGGGGAGAATGGCACAGTGAACGTATCATGGCTGTTGGATGAACGCCACTCAAGATGAGCAGCACAGGAAGATGAAGTGGAAAGGAGATGGGGTGATGGTGGCTTCAAATACAGACATATAGAGGCACCCCTCATTTTGAACACTGGCTGCAATTCTCAGAAGTGGGTGTAAAACTGCACTTGGATTGCTAATAAATGGCATCCAAAATGCAATCGTCATCTCAGCATTTTTCTATGCAGATAGGGTCATGCTTTCTGAGCAAAGCAGCATGCTGCCCTCAACAGAAAGCCCTGTTTATCACTTGGAGATGCAATGAAAATAACAAATGTCCAGAGTAAACCTAATTCACTGTGCTACTTAGTATTTGAAATACATAAATATGTCAAGCAAAAGACCTCTAATAGACCCTTTTATACTGGTTATAGTGTACATATAATTTTCCTCTCATTAGTACAAAAACTACCTAGGGAACTATCGGCCCATCCTTCATCCATTTAATCTGCATTAGTTTACTTTTACCTTGTGTTTAATCTGCTTTCCCTCAAGGTATTTTGAATAAATCAATAGGAATACATGATTGTTTAATGATTTTTAGAAGAGCTCCCTTCGACCACAGCTGCATGATTTAGAATGACTAATTCCACTTTTTACAATTGATCCCGCTGTGCACAGCCCATCCATTCCTGCCATGTCTTGGCAAAGGGACCAGGAGCTCCACAGTGAGGGGGGTCTTAAAGGGGCCGAGGAGGGCTCCCGACAGTTTGGGGGTGGGAATAAAAATGAGTGAGGCAACATAAATATTCAGAATAAATCCTCTTAATTCATGGCAACAGGCTCCAGCCCCATAACGTAGCTCAGCACTATAGCCTGATCATGCCACTCCCATACCTGGGCTTTGGGTGCGCTATTGCGTCTTGCTCTTCAACGTGCCCGAGGGCAACTGAGGATTTCATGAGGCAACAAAGAGAAGGCTCAGGTTTGGTGCAGCAGGAGGGACTCTTGACGGTGGGATTTTAGCCTCGAGTATAAACGCACATGCTTGCTGAAGCTCAGTGCGCAACCAGAGTTTGCTTGCTTAACAACGGAGGAAAAGTCCTCCTGATCTGATATGTAAAGGTCCAGTCACTTCTAGCTTTCATCTCTTTTTAACCCCAAAGTCATTCTGACAGTGTAAATACACCAGTGAAGAAAAGATATCACTGAAAATGGGTGTTATACCAGTTTAGCCCATTCACCGTGAAGGAGGCATGGTGTAGTGTATATAAAACTAGGGCTGGGATCAAGAGAGTTCACAGCTATACACATTTCTGCCACTGAGCATTGTTTCCTGACAGGTGATGTACCCTCCCCAGCTCTGTTTCTCAATCTCACCAGTTGTCTGATCTTATTTTAAAAGAGCATAGATTTCCTCAAAAAACTCCAAACCTACATTACTACATTTTAATAGAGCTCTGAGCACAGCAGAGCCTTGGTATCTGGTACAGCCCCTGGATGATTGATACAAACAGCAACTACTATAGCTTAACCTTATTTTGTTGTGATAATGCAGAGAATAAACTAGTTAGTGAGTGCCCAGCCTAGTCCCCTATGCCCTAACCACACTCTTCTCTGAAGAGCAGGACTGATATCCTTCCCAACCTTGGCACCTCACCCAATACCAGGAGCAAACCCACCTCCCTCTCTTCAGGGATACTTAGTATGTACTCTTTCCTATAAGTACAGAAACCATGGGTAGGAAGCTATCTGAAGTATAAAGGTATGAGCAGCATGGCTGAAGAGACAGCCAACACCTCTTATGTACCCACGTTACCATGAAAAGACACAAACTTCTGCTGAAGATGTTACCTATGGAGACCAAGGCTAATAAAGATGGGTCTAAACCCCAACCTTGTGTGGTCTTCCTGGAGATGGTGGCTGTTTTCTGCTAGCCTGCTTTCTACTCGGTCTTGCTCCACTGCCAGAAATGTCTCAGTGTAGGGGAGGGGGATGGTGGTGTGGTATGTTCTGAGCTGTCAGCATAGGGCACAGAGGTCTGGAAACTGCAAGAGAATTATCAGCAGTATCACTAACAAGCCCGACCTTTTAGACAGCTGAATTCAAAAGATGTATAAGTCCACAAAACCTTTCCTCCCCTTGACTCTCCCTCTTTTAAAGCGTTGGTGGGTTCTGGATTAGGCCATACATAAAATTCAACAGTCCTATTAAGACTAAATTCACCTTATTTCAATGGTGAAGCTGCATGATTTACGAGCACATTGGCAAACAGACCAGCATTGTATCAACACTCAAAGCTGACACTGCTGCAGCACTAAAGGAAAAATATTGGTAGTTAGCTCCAATAAGTTAGAAATCTTCTCGATAGGGACACTGAAAGTGATTGAGACAGGCTGTGCAAGAGGCCCTACAAGGTGCCAAGGTACGGAAGACATTACAGTTTACATTGAATAATCTATTGCTGTAAGGTTTGTAAGTTGACTGCAGTCCAACAAAGACTGTCAAGAAGGCTGGCACTTATTATTTGTTCTATTATCACTTAATAAGTTCAAAAAGGTCTTTGCAAGATGGTAGGGACTTCTGGGGAGATTGAGAACTCTTGCAAAGATCAGAATAGCACAATGCTGTGGAAACCAGAAATCCCCTGGATGCAGAGGAGGTACCTACATTCTGTACTGCAAAACTGTTCCACACATCAGAGAAGCATCATTGTGATACAGGAGGAGGTAGAAAGCAGAAGCCACAGTCAGCTGCTGTCACTCTGTCACTGCTCGCCCTCCTTAGCTTGTCCCCAGGAGATAAGGCCGCTTGAGGTTTTATGAAGAGAAAGTAGATGTTTGTGCTCATGTGACAAGCTTCATGAGATGCTAGAAGGCTCCTTGATAGCAAGGGGTGGTGGTGGTGTGTTTGATAACTGCTGCCAAATGGTTAGAGCAGTGTATTGACAGATCTGGTAACTGACAAACATCTCTAAGCAATCCACTCTAAAGTGTCCCAGGACTGTCCCTCATAACTCCACACATTTAGTGACTGCAGAGGGGAAAACTCTGGGACTGCAGCAGATGTTAATTAAGCTATCTACAGACTTCTCTCCTCAGGCTCCCTGTCATGCCCTCCAGCAGATAATGATCTGCCACAAGCTAGCTCTGAACAGCACTGGAGATACAACACAACAGAACCAACAAGAAAAGTTGGCATTTCTGCTCCAGATACCTTACCCACAGGCCAAAGCCTCTACCATAACCAACAGCATACCTAGTTCTTCTACCTGCTACCTGAAGCTTCAGGATGAGGTTCCTCTTTTACCCCAGTAAATACCAGTGGTGCTCTAACTGAATGCTAACTCAAACAGCTCCCAGTTCAGAGCCATGATTAGCAGACTGCAATCTAGGTTACTGTACTGGCAAGATAATTCTCCCCATACCCTAGGGCTTAACCACAGAACTCAGAGCACTGGCACTTTTAACATTCACAGATCCTACAGAGACTGAGTGAAGGCCTTTGCAGATGAAAAGTAGAGGGAAAACCCAT